AAAGAACTCTTACCATTCGCAGCAGCATGGAGGAGCCTGGAGAGCATTATGCGAAGTGAAATAAGCCAGTCAGAGAAAGGCAAGTATTACACGATCTCACTCATATGTGGACTCTAATGAACAAAATAAACTGATGAACAAAATAGATCCAGAGACATGGAAGCACAGAACAGACCCTCAAACCTCAGAGGGAAGGTGGGATGGGGTGATTGGGTAATGATATTATATGCATACTAGTGTCCCAGTGCACGAATTCATGCACATTGAAAGGAAATTAATTAGAAGAAATATTTTAATGTCGCTATTCACCCTTTCTCTATAATAGAAGTATCAACCAAATTCACGATCAACAATGACAGATAGAAACACGCATGTGATTGGTGCCGGCGAGAACTTTGTATGTACCGAGCATGCACAAGCCAACTTAGCCTTTTATAGACATAGAATAAACTTGCTTCATTAGACCTGCTTTCTGATGTAGCTAAACTTTTTCAGCCCAGTAAAGCACCCCAACTTCTCTTTCAGGTAATTGTCAGCAACACAGCAAATATCAACATGGAGCAGATTATTATTGTAGATCATGCAGGAAGAACAAAGGGTAAAATATTTAACTGCAGCAGTGTCTGACTATATTCTTCTGTGCAGTGAGAAAACATGAAGTCATTTTCAATGTCCACCATTTCTTACTTCTTTTCACTTGGGTCAAGTTTCTAAACTTTCTAACTTTCCATTTTCTGGCTCATGAAAAGAAAAGAAAATTCCACCGAGTCTCCTATGTACCTACTCCAGGACTTCTGTGAGGACCAAATGAGATGAGGCACGGGAAAACGCTCCACAGACATTTAGTTTAATTGTGAAATGTTTGCACCTGGCTATAAAGGAAGTCGTGTTCCTCGGCTGAAGAAACTGCAAGGAGGCTAGTCGCTAGGGAGAGGAGCCAGGCGTTGCTATGCGACGTTGTTACCTGGCACCCACAGTGGCTGTTTCCTGGCTGGGCTGGGCTGGGCCGCATTTTGTGCTATGGGGTCTTGGCAGCATTGGCTGCGATTTGGTGGGGTGTCCCTCCGGGGTGGTGGCAGGGCCTATGTCCCACTTGGGGGAAGCCGAGTGTTGGTTTGTCAGCGCCAGGTCTGTGGTGCCATTTATCTTTAAGCTAGTAGCCTGGTGCACAAAATTTATGCACATTAAAAGGGAATTAATTAGTGGAAATATTTTAATATTGCTATTTGCCCTTTCTATATAATAGAAGTATGAGAGATGAAAGGAAATTAATAAATGTATATGAAAATAATATATAAATTTATTAATAAACAGTAACAAAAGGATGTAACAACAGCAGAGGCATGATATAAAAAGGACAAAAACATGATATGAAAACAACAAAAACGACATAAAAACAACAAAAACAAGATATAAAAACAACAGTGATGCAAACAATGACTGATAAATTGATTAAACTTATTCTAATATCTCCTTGTACACCACATTAAGAGTGAAAACACTTTCAGAGTGCTTGACTAATTTCCCTTGTGATGAACTATTTAGAACTTTAACTTTAACGTCACATGCTCTTCGAACGCTAGAGAAGGCAACATATAACTAACCATGTGCAAAAACGGGTTCAGGTAGGAATATGCCTACTCTGTCTAGAGTTTGTCCTTGTGATTTATTAATAGTCATTACAAATGCTGGCATCACGGGAAACTGTCATTGAATCAATTTAAATGGGAGGCCAGTGTCAGATGGGGACAAATTAATTCTTGGAATCAGAACAGCCTCTCCCTCTGCAAATCCTGTTAATACTTCAGCTTCGATAATGTCAGGTTGTAATCTTTTGATAATAAATCTGGTATCATTACAAAGACCCCATTTACTATTGAGATTTCTCAATAGCATGATGATTACACCCACTTTCAATTTTAATTTATGACATGGCATTCCCAAAGGAGTAATACTATTAAGCAATTCGATGGGGAAATTTTCCTTTTCAGCATCATCTGTGGAATCATCACTCAAATATGTGTGAAAATCTCCATTGTGTATATCCAAAATGTCTTCATTTGTTTTTTGAATGTACTAATTTTTTGGACAAAGAATTGCACGTTTAGATATATTTTTAATATTATCTATAGATATAGTATTTCCAAAGGTAGCTTCAATAATAGATCCATTACAAATCATTTCAAAGGGGATTTCAATAATATCCATTCCTAAATGAAAACTGCTATAAAGTTTGCCATCTCCAAGTTTTACTAACTACCCACTATAAGCAGAATCCTCTGATCTCATATTTGTTGTAAGAGACAACTTTCTGAAACATCCCCAAACACTGCAGTACTTTAAACTCGTTTGTATTATGGCCGATCACATAGCATGCATTACAATCCTGAGACATTGTCAAAAATCCCCTCCAAGAAGGAGAACTTTCCTACCAAACACAACATTCAAATTTCTCTTAGTAATCTGTCTATGGCGTTTATAGCATGACTGGATGCCATGTTGCATTCATCAATAATGAGAAGTTGGGCCTTTTTAATAGTTTTAGCAACTTCACTGTTTATATCGAGCCTAGAAATTGAAGTTTTGTTTAGTGGGATGGGTAATTTATATTGGGAATGAAAGGTGCTTCCACCGAGAAGTAAATTTGCAGCAATTCCTGTAGATGCTGTGGGTAAAACAGTACTACCACGCCCTCTAATATAACGTATTAAAACTTCATAAAAATATGCCTCCATGCTCCAAGGGCGGGTTCCTGCCTCAAACCTTGCCCTCTGAGGAAACAGCTCAGGGAGGGCGCAGCTGTAGCTAAGAGGACTCAGGACTCAGTGCGGCCATGCACCGAGGGCGGTTTCCTGCCTCAAACCTCGCCACCCTCACAGGAAACAGCTCGGGGAGGGTGCAGCCGTTTCCAAGATGACCCCTGCATGACTGACTTCATTCCGGTTGGTTGAGCCTCGGTTGTGAAGTTACACCCAGGGTTTTTATATAAATAGATGGGCAGTGCGCGTCATGGCAGCTCCTGCGCGGAGCATCTGCCCCTGGTGGTCAGTGCGTGTCACAGCTACTGGTTGGATGGATGGTCACTTAGCCTTTTCTGTATACAGGTATGCATAGCCCACGGACACAGGCCATAGAGTGGCGAAGGCCTGGGAAGGGCAGGTGTGGGGTAGAGAGGATCCACAGCTAAAAAACAATCAAAGGGAAATCTACAATACTTTCTACAATAAAGATAAATTAAAAAAAGAAAAGCTAAAGCAAATATCATATGATCTCACTCATACGTGGTATATTTTTAAAAAGAAAACCAAAAATAAACAAACAAATAAACACACTCATAGAGGCAGACAACAGATCAGGGGCTGGGGCTGGGGCTAGGACTTGAGGCGGAGAGAGGGTGAAACATGTAAAGGGCCAACTGTCCGGTGACAAGCGGCAGCTAGATTTGGAGTGAGTGCAGTGCAGCCGGATTGTATAATGTTTCACGACTGACCCGTGTGGACTGCAGTGAGCGAGGGCCACATCCTCTCACACACGCCGCATCGGGCTCCTCGAAGGGCAGGAGGTGGGACCCGCGTGGGGACCTGGGTTCAGGGAGGCCGCTCAGCGAGGGCAACAGGAAGACATTAGAGCAGCGAGAGGGAAGCCAAAGAACTTCACATGCGCCACCTGCAGAGCCAAGGAGCGCGCCGGGAGAGACCGTGGTGTCTGCCACCCCGGAGGGAGCTGGTGCCCAGCAGGCACGGCCTTGGGGCTGCCCCGTGAGAGGCCGCGGGTGAGGCTTAGCCTGGGTACAGGGAGGCCCCTGCATGAAGGTCCTCATGGGAGCTTGTGAAGATTTGGGGAGAAGGATTTAAGCAAGAATGGGACTTCCTGACTTCTGGGGACAGATGGATTCTGAGAGCCCTCGAGGGTTGCTGGGGCACCAACAGCAACCCCAACGCCAACCAGGGTCCTAATTCCATTCAGTCGGCACCGACCACCTGCCGTGTGCAGACCCCACACAAGGGCAGTGGCTCACAGACTGCCCGTCGGCGGTGCCAGCCAGCCAGCCCCAGGCTCACCTGCACCGGCGACCAGCCAGCTCTCCATGCGGGAGTTCCCGTGACCCCTCGTTCACTAACCCACTAGCAGGGCTCGCAGGGCTCACGGAAAGCACCATGCTCACAGCTTTACCGTGAGGATGGGGTCGGGAGCAGTCTAGTGGGAGAGGTGCGTAGTTCCAGGGCTGGGGGGAGGGGCAGAGAGCCTCCAGGCCCTTTCCCGTGGCATCTGGGCCTGTCGCCCCGCAGAACATCACGTGCTCACCACCCACTGGAAGCTTCAGTGGCCAGAGCTTTCTTGGGGCCTTAGCCAGTCTCCCCTCCCTGCAGGTTGGGGAGGGGCCTGAAAAAGTTCCCACCCGCTAGCCATGCGCCTCTTCCCGGTGTGGCCAGCCCGCTGGCTGGGAGACTATCCCAGGGCCCTGGCCCCTCATTAGCATCCGCCCGGGTGTGGTGGGAAGGGGCTCCTCATGAATAACCAAGGGCACTCCCACCACAGGCACTTCCAAAGGGTAGGAGCTCTGAGCCAGGAAGAGACACAGGAGCAGAGCGATGTCTGTCCTCTTGTATCACAGGAGACAGGGAAGGCGGTTGGTGACCCATCGCACTGAGCCGCTGAAAGGACAATGGAGAGGGACCGGCCTACGGAGAGCTGGTCAGCCAGGAGGAGGGGCCCGGAGGGAGGAGGAGAGCGGCTCCCCCAGGAGCCAGGCTGCTCCCGGGACAGGAGCCGGCGCAGACCAGCCCGAGGCTGTGCGGAAACGAGCCCACAGCCGCCTCTGGCGTGAGCCCCAAGGAGGAAGCAGGTGGGGCGAGTCCTAACACAACCGCCTGTCACTCCCTTTGCTTTTGAGACAACCTGTGTAAGAGCCGCGGAGAGACGCCTGTTGGCAGGAGCGCTACCGCCTCCAGCGGGAAGGAGCCTCCTCTCAGGAGCCGGTTTGTTTCATTCTTTAAACCCAGAGCGGAGCCTGTCGGCTTCTGGGCCGGGAGGGTCCATCCGGACCGCGTGGGTCACAGCCACAGGCCTGCCCTCCGGCCGCCAGGGAAGTGGCTCGCTGCTGCCATGTCACCCCGCAGGCAGGTCCTCTCCCACCTGCACTCGGCGTAGACCTCCCAGGAGAGACAGCTAAAGCGCCTGCCTCATTCCATGAACACAGGTGACACGTGAGAGCTGGCCCTGACCCTTGTTGCACTGATGCCGAGGGCAGGGCCAGCAGCACCCAGCGCTCGGATTGGCGAGGCCCCGGGTGTCGCTCCGGATTGGCGAGGCCCGCAGTCGGGGGAGGGCCCCATCACTCGGATTAGTGAGGCCTGGGGTGTAGCAGTCGGGGGAGGGCCCCAGCGCTCGGATTGGCAAGGCCCGGGGTGTTGCAGTCGGGGGAGGGCCGAGGCCAGGAAGCGCCTGAGTGCAAAGTCCCAAACAACAGGCCGGGCCCGGGGCGGGGCCAGCAGGCCGAGGCTCTTCCCTGCCCGGCGCAGGCTCCCAGGAGGGCTGAGGGCAGAGGCTGCCTGCAGGTGTCAGACCACAGCTCTGTGCTGAGAGCCCGCAGTCTGTGGGAACAGCACTGACTCCGGACACCAATGGCCTTGAGCAGAAAGGAGCTGAAATGTGATGGGACAGAGCGCATAACTGAACTATGTGAAGGGAATCCTTCAACCCACGTCCACCTGCGACGGCTGGGACCAGATCTGGGACTTCCGGGCCAGGCCCGACGACCTGCTCATCTGCACCTACCCTAAAGCAGGTAGGGCGGGGGGGGGGGGGGGGACGGGGGGGGGGGGGGGGGGGGGGGGGGGGGGGGGGGGGGGGGGGCGGGAAATGCCTTAATAATGAAATAAACAGATGACCGGGTTTGAGTGGAGGGCTGTTGGCTGGGCAGAGTGAGGGCCACAGCAAATTGCCGTGGAAACTGAAACTAAAATGACCTACAAGTTTTAAGCGTTTAATTCTTCCAGCGACGCCCATTTCTTTTTACTTCCTCAGAAGAGCGTGAATAAAACAGCAAAGAACAAAAGGGCTCTAGACTTGTTGACAGATTTGTTCCCCAGGCGGGCCTTCCTGTGGGCCTGGCACAAAGCTGCTCTGTGTGAGTGAGCAGGAAAGGGACCAGCCTGATTTGGGGACGAGGACGAGGAGGGGAGCAGTGGTTCTGCACTGCTGACCCGCTCAGCAGCCCTCAAATCTGCAGGTCAGGAGCGGAGAGCTGTTCTTCCGAAGTGTCCCAATTCTGTCCCAATTAATTAATGATCTGTCTAGATTTAGCGGGACATATGCAGGTGACCAGGGGTCAACAATAACGGCCTGTCGCCTGGTACTTCAAACCTAGACAGTTGAGCTGAACTGGAACACATGAACACACAGACAGAATCAGTGTGCAATCACACAGGGTTTATTTACCTATTCCTAGTGGGTCCTAGGCTCCGGCAAAGGCCACCCAGCGATGCACACCGAAAGACGGACGAGGAAGACGGAGACAGACAGGCGGCCGCAGTTGGTTCAGGCTCACACAGCACAGCAGTCAGTCAGGGGCTCATCTCACGGAACGATGTGGAGTCCTCCTCTCATCAAGCAGGAGACGTCCACTGAAGAAAATCTGGTCTTATATAGCCGGTGGTAAACAACTTGTGTCTTATCGGTGTGGGCCAGACGGTGTGCCTTATGCTAGGAGCAGGGTGTTTACACTTTAAGGGCTTAGGGTATTCACATCAGGATAGTGGGGCGTTCACCACATTTTGGAAGTTACAGAGTATTGGGTTCTTCACACAGCAAACATTTCACACATTAATTATTTCCACACATTAGAGGGGTTTTCTTATGACCATAAGAGTATTATAACACTAAGGAACAATGCAGCTCAGCCAACAGGACAGCAGCCCAGTGAATAGCTGTGGCAGGAAACAATGAACTGCACATAAGACTGCTTCACATTGGAGCCTTTTCATAAAAATCATACTATGGTAAAACAAGGTATAAAGAATGATGTTTTCTTAATCCCATCACAAACCTGGCTTCACAATGCACACAGATGTCTAACAAGCAGTTGGCCATCTTTAAGGATACAGTATCCTAACAGTCTACTCATCTCTACCTCCCTGCGGAACAAGGGACCACGTGGACTCAGGAGATAGTGGACTTAATACAAAATGATGGTGATGTTGACCGAACTCAACGAGCACCTACTCACGTGCGGTTTCCTTTCATCGAATGGATAATCCCGTCCATGGGATCGGGTGAGTGTAGAATAACTTCACTGGATTATACTCCTAAATGCAGACTCAGAATGCTGACTATCAAATAGCCTCCCAAAACTCTAGACACTCACACAAGTATATCAATATACTTGTGACTTCGTCTTTTTAAAAAACTGTATCTGGCCCATGCTGTTTTCTAGCCATCTCTTCTAACGGAGTCACTGTTCATACGGAAGGAAGTTAAATGTTGATCCTCTAGTTAGACATTAATTGTACTCCACAAGGAGGAGCCTAAGTGATTTCCTGGTCCACAGGTTGGGATTTGGGTTCTTATTTATTTGGTTTGCTGTTTGTTATGGTTAGACATTGTTCAAGAAAGAACATTAATTCGTCGGTTGGACACATCCTCGCGGGTCAGACCACAGAGCTGCCTGACATTGTCCAGTTGGCCCTCAGGTGGTGACAGTGAAAGCAGCATGTTGTGAAGCACAGCGAACACTAGTGGGAAATGATCAGAATCATTTTACAGGCTTGGAACAAGCAAGCGCGATGCCCTCACCACGGACCCTGAAAACACACCTTCCCTTCCAACTGCTGCCTCCGTCTTTCCTGGAGAAAAACTGTCAGGTAAAGAGCAACAGGAGCTCTGAGTGACACTCTGGTCTTCAATCTACTTCTTCTGAAAGCTCTTCACTTATTCAGGGAAAACCCTTCACCTCTTTCCAACAACCGCGTGCACGCGGCTCTGAGCCTTTCCTCTCCCAATACCCACATCCAGGATCCGCATCCTTAAGACCCCCGGACGGACGGATGGATGGATGGAGCTTGTGGGCGATAACCAGCGTGCAGCGGCCTCATGGGCTGTTTCTCTCCCCTCTTCTCCCCCCAGATAATCTATGTGGCGAGAAACCCCAAGGACAACCTGGTGTCTTACTACCATTTCCACAGAATGAATAAAGCGCTTCCGGACCCCGGGACCTGGGAAGAGTATTTTGAGAGCTTTCTGACTGGGAAAGGTATGAACATTCAGCTCTGAACCCCTTTCTAAGCCTCCAACACCATCAAAACGGTCATTTCCTGAGGACCCATGGGACCTGCCTTCTTGGATGTGAGGGTATCACCACCTGACACTGGGAGCTCTCTCCTCCGTGGAGTGTCAGCTGGTGAGCGGGACTCACCCTGTCCCTGTCCCATTCTCCTGGCCCCTGGCTCATGACCTGTCCCCGTCCCATTCCCCTGGCCCCTGGCCCATTCCCCTACCCCCACACTCTGGCCCCATCCCCACCCTGTCTTGTAGTGTGCTGGGGCTCATGGCACGACCACGTGAAAGGATGGTGGGAAGCCAGAGACCAACACCGCATCCTCTACCTCTTCTACGAGGACCTGAAGATGGTAAGGGGCAGCACGTTCCTATTTGACCATGAAATATTACATCATAGCATAGCGGCCGCATCAGGGCCTCACAGAGTGAACAGGGAGCAGAGAATGGCTCCATTTCACTGGCGACGGCTGTCCCCGTGCGCAATGCACTGGGCTGTCCTGGCTCCCGCATCGCGTCTCCCACAGCCCCTGGCTGCTGGTCCCTCACCTCGCCTTCCAGCACATCTATTTTAAATTCTGCTTAGGAGGGAAATGTTTTTCTAACACATTTTTTTCATTGAGGGACATCAATTTCAAGAAACAGTTTAAGAAATGATGGTATAATGGGAAAATACTAATGATTTAGAGTCAGAATTATTGAATTCAAATTCTAGATTTATTGCCAGATATAAAATATCGAGAGTGAAAAAACACAGAATTGTTTTTATGTTTTCAATCGAGATAATTGAGGTGTAATATAGTGTTAGTTTCAGGTATACAACAGGATGACTTGATATTTGTACACCTTGAAAAATGAGCACCACAGTAAGTCTACTTAACATCTGCACCAAATATAGTTATAATTATTTCTTATAGTTCAGCACCTTTCAGGTATGCAACACAGTATCATTAACCACAGTCGCCTGCTACACATACACCCCAGGACTGACTGAGCAGACAGCTGGGCGTCTGTATCTCTGACCCCTCACCCACTCCACGCAGCCCCGCCCTGCTCCCTGCAAACCCAGTCTGTTCCCCATATCTATGAATTCTTTTGTTTTGTTTTAAATTGCACTCTATGGTTTTTTTAAAAAAAATAACTTATTACATTTCTAGTATTCTAATACACAGGTACTCTAACCTCAGAGTCCCTAAACCCTTTTACATGTTCTGTGGTCATATTCTGGAATATTCCCTGAATGTAGTCACACAAAGCTCAGTTTTCCGCACTCTTGCTGATTCTTAGTCTGTAGACCAGCGATGGCGAACCTATGACACGCGGCGTGTCAGAGGTGACACGTGAACTCATTTTTTTTGGTTGATTTTTCTTTGTTAAATGGCATATAAATATATAAAATAAATATCAGAGATATGACTCTTTGTTTTACTATGGTTGCAAATATCAAAAAAATTCTATATGTGACACAGCACCAGAGTTAAGTTAGGGTTTTTCAAAATGCTGACATGCTGAGCTCAAAAGGTTCGCCATCACTGCTGTAGGCCAATTAAATTAAGCACTTTTTGTTGTCGTTAATCCTCACCCAAGTGTATGTTTTTTCCATTGGCTTTCTGAGAGGGTGAGAGGGATGGGGAGAGAGAGAAACATCTATGTGAGAGACACATGGATTGGCTGTTTCCCCCAGCTGGACTGGGGCCGGGGATCCAGCCTGCAACTGAGGTACATGCCCCTGAGCAGAATCAAACCTGTGACCCTTCAGATCACAGGCAACGGCTCTAACCACTGAGCATCTGGCCTGGGCACATTAAACATCCAACCTTTTAAAGCTGAAGCTCATCATAAAACAGAAGATACCATCGTGGGGTAAACTCTTCCACTTGCCCTCCCCCCACCCCTTCTAGAAACAGGTACGTTCCACAGCCACATCTCCCAGGGCTCTGTGTCCCTCTGATGAGAGAACACTGGCTCCCTAGGCACTGAGATACCTACGCACCGGTCGGATGGACTGGGCCTGGAGTCGTCAGCCGTGGGCACCTCTCAGTCGCCTCCTGAGTGTAACAGGTCCTCTCCATCCTCTGCCACACAGCACTGTCTGGGCGCGTTTCTGTCAAAGTCAGAGCCAGCGGCAGCCTCCCCGGTCAGGCCTCCATCGCCTGCCCCGTGCCTCTGCGGTATCTTAGTTCTATGGACTCTCCCTGCTGCACACGTGGCCGACCAAGACCCTCCAGGAACGGCCTGAGCAGGACATTTGGAAATAAGTTTAGGGCAGCATTCCCACACACTGCATCACACTCAGTGGTTCTTCCATCTCAGAGCAGGAAAAGCTTAATAATTATGGTTAATTTTTTAAGATAAATCTTTATTCTTCAGATTATTACAGATGTCCCTCTTTTTTCCCCCCCATAGCTCCCCTCCACCTGGTTCCCACCCCGCCCTAGGCCCTTACCCCCGCCACTGTCCTCATCCATAGGTGTATGATTTTTGTCCAATCTCTTCCCACACCCTTCACACCCCCTCCCCCCTGAGAATTGTCAGTCCACTCCCTTTCTATGCCCCTGCTTCTATTATATTCACCAGTTTATTCTGTTCATCGGATTTTTTATTGACATAATTTTTAAATTCACTTGTTGATAGATATGTATTTGTTGTCCCTTTGTTGTTCATAATTTCTATCTTTACCTTTTTCTTCTTCTTCCTCTTCTTAGAGAATACCCTTCAGCATTTCATATAATCCTGGTTTGGTTGTGATGAACTCCTTTAGCTTTTTCTTGTCTGTGAAGCTCTTTATCTGACCTTCAATTCTACATGATAGCTTTGCTGGGTAGAGTAATAGTGGTTGTAGGTCCTTGCTGTTCATCACTTTGAATACTTCTTGCCACTCCCTTCTGGCCTGTATGGTTTCTGTTGAGAAATCAGCTGACAGTCGTATGGGTACTCCCTTGTAGGTAACTAACTGTTTTTCTCTTGCTGCTTTTAAGATTCTCTTCTTGTCTTTTGCCCTTGTCATTTTAATTATTATGTGTTGTGGTGTGGTCCTCTTTGGATTCCTCTTATTTGGGGTTCTCTTTGCTTCCTGGTCTTGTAAGTCTATTTCTTTCATCAGGTAAGGGAAGTTTTCTGGCATTATTTCTTCTAATAGGTTCTCAATATCTTGCTCTCTCTCTTCTTCTGGCATCCCCATAATTCGGATGTTGGTACGTTTGAAGTTGTCTCAGAGGCTCCTTACACTATCTTCACATTTTTGGATTCTTTTTTCTTTTTGCATTTCTGGATGGGTGTTTTTTGCTTCCTCGCATTTCAAATCTTTGACTTGATTCTTGCGATCCTCTAGTCTGCTGTTGGATCTCTGTATAATATTCTTTACTTCAGTCAGTGTATGCTTAATTTCTGACTGGTCCTTTTCCATTTTTTTGGCATTCTCATTAAGATCCTTGAAGGTCTCACTAAGTTCCTCAGAGGTGTGTAGAAGATTCTTGAGTAACCTTATAACTGTGGTTTTGAACTCTAAATCCAGTAATTTGCTTTCCTCCGTTTCTTTCATTTGTGACATGTTTGTCTCCACATTTTGGCTGCTTCCCTCTGTTGATAGTGGCTTTATGTGGTAGGTGTCCTATTTGGCCCAGTGGGTCAGCCTCCCCAGTCACCTAAGGTGGACACTCTTGGTGCACCCCTTTGTGGGCTGGGTGCACAGTCTTGTTGTAGTTAAGCCTTGATTGCTGTTGATATCCCTGGGAGGAAATGACCTCCAGGCCAATTGACTGCAAGAACTCACTGTGTCTGTAGTGGAAGAACTGCTGTGCTGGAGACACCCTTATGGAGCAGGACTTGCTTCAGTGGGGCTTTGGTGCTCACTGAGTCTGCCTCTTAAGTGTGTCACTTATGGATGTGAGGAGTTGAAATCTTGTATCTGACCACTGGGCACACTGGCTCCTGGATCTCCAAGGAGGTGCAAATTCAACCAACATGTGAGTCCTCCCAGCAGGAGCGAGATCTGAAGATTTCTCCTCTTTGTTTGGGGTTTGGAAATTTTGGAGCTCCCTGACCCAGCTGCAGTTTGTTAGGTTAGGCTATAAAAGGACAAGCAATTCGTTTGCGCGACTGCGCACAGCTTGGGTGGGGTTATAAATTGGGTGGGGCAGGGTCTCAGAGAATCACCAGGGCGGAGAAAACAGTGATGCCTGTCCGTCAGCCATCTCCAGGTCTCTGTGTTCCCGCGTCACCTAGACCCGGCCCCCACAGTAACAATGATCCCTGCGAGCAGTTCTGCAAGAAAGCCACCCTCGCTTTCCGACCCGATGCCAGACCATCCAGTTTCTCCCCATAGGAATCTGGGTCCCTAGAGTCTCGCCGGAAATGAGCTCATACAGTTGGGAGCTTGCATCTCCCGATTGAAAAAAAACGTGCACCCAGGTGCAGCCCAGTTCACGCGCCTCTGTACCTCTGCTCTTGGCGCCTTGGCACCTCTCACCGAGCCTCAATGCGCTTTTCTCTTTCCTTCTGGTTGTAGAACTTCCACTCAGCCAGCTTTCCCGTGATTCTGGATGATAGCCTTTTTGTCTTTTAGTTGTAGTTTTAATGTGGTTGTGGGGGGCTGCACGGATAGGTATATACCTTATGCCGCCATCTTGGTTTCTGTGGTTAAGTTTTTTAAAATATATTTTATTGATTTTTTACAGAGAGGAAAGGAGAGGGATAGAGAGTTAGAAACATCAGTGAGAGAGAAACATCTGCCTCCTGCACACTCCCCACTGGGGATGTGCCTGCAACCAAGGTACATGCCCTTGACCGGAATCGAACCGGAATCGAACCAGGCCGCTGCTTTATCCACTGAGCCAAACCCATTAGGGCTATGGTTAATTTTTAAAAACCTGTGTCACAGTATTAAAATGAGTTATTTCTGGAAAGTTCAGCATTTAGGAGGCAGGATTGTTTTTTGATTTTATGTTACTTATCACCATTGTTTTTTTATTTTATGTTAATGCAATATTTTTTAAACTGTTTTATATCAAATCTTCACTTTTCTTTTCACTCTGATCACAGAACCCAAAGCATGAAATCCGGAAGCTGGGAGAATTTATTGGGAAAAAGCTGGATGACAGCGTCCTGGATAAAATTGTCCATCACACTTCGTTTGATGTTATGAAGCAAAATCCCATGGCGAACTACTCGACAGTCCCCGCCGAGATCATGGACCACTCGGTGTCTCCGTTCATGAGGAAAGGTGGTTCTCTCTGCGCGTCACGACCTTGAAAGGGCTGTCGAGGACCCCAGGGCCTGTGGGGAGGTTTCCACGGATAAGACAAGGTCCATAATAAATGATACTGGGGAAGGAGTATTTAAGAGACCACAGACGAAATGAAACCAACGTGTACCCACACTAGAGAGTAAGGTTTAGTGCCTAAACCCACTGCCTTATCTCACTCCCCTCCAGAGTTCTCGATGATAAGGTGGAAATACACTTAGGTCCGATGGAGCAACGCATCCACGGTGTAGATGGCTCTATGCTATCTGACATGCAAGAGGACGGGGAAAGACAGGAAAGCCCTTAGGCCTGCGGTTTTAACGTGGTGTCCCCCCCGACCCCTGCCATAACGTGGCTTAGGGGCAGCAGGCTCTCCTGGCCTCACAATCAGACAGATGACTGTCTTTTCCCTTCGGACGGAAAGGGACGGGCTGGCAGGAGGAACGCCGAGCCCAGCCCTGCCCTCCTGCAGGGCGAGTGGACACCGCACACAAGAGCAGGACAGAGGGCACACAGTCCTCCAGCAGCTCTGACTCCCATGTCTTTTCAGGGGCAGTCGGAGACTGGAAGAATCACTTCACCGTGGCTCAGAACGAGAGGTTTGACGAAGACTACCAGCGGAGAATGGCTGGGACAAGTCTAGCTTTCCAATTCCAGTTCTAGAGAGAGAAAGTGTTCAGTTTATTACCCAACTCACTGGGCAACAACCCATAGCAGCTTCATTCCCAGACCACACAGCATTGGGCCCAGGTTCTCAGACCAGTTGTTCGTCATGTTTGCTTTTGTTCACTCGACAAAGAAAAGATCAGAGTCAGCAGCGAGGGGGAAGGTGGGGAGTGGGAACTGGGGAGAAGGTTCAATAAACTACTAGTTACAAACATGACATTGGTGCTAATGATCATTCTGCTGACGCTTACCGATCATGTGCTTGTTAACATTAACAGTGCTCCAGTCCTCACATAAAAACACACTCAAGTTTTCAGATTAAGTCTTGGTTAAAGGTAGCGTCTTTTTATTGATTGATTTTAGAGGGGGGGCGGGCGGTAGAGATAAACATCGATTTGCTGTTCTACTTATGTACCCATTGGTCGCTTCTTGTATGTGCCCTGACTGGGGATCAAACCCACAACCTTGGCGTAATGAAGACAACGCTCTAACCAACTGGGCTGCCCGGCCAGGGCCAAGCTAAATGTTAATGCCGCACTGAAATGTGTGAACAGCGACTAATTCCAGCAAAGACTTGTCAGCCAGGTACCTCCAGTGGCTGCTTCCCCCTGAAATCTCCAGTTCACCCCAGGATTCAGGCTGTAATACCTTCACCCCCATCTCTCACCACAACCTGGGGACGTGGCTGGACTCGCTTCCCCCACAAGTGCTACCATTCAGTCTGTCATGCTGTGACGCTCTGAGTGCCTCCACAGTCACCTTCTCACATTCAGCGTGCCCTCTATGGCTGTCACCTCCATAGCCCCCTCCGGTCAGACCTGTGCCTCCTGTCCAGGCAAGTGTGGGCTTCCCGACGGTTTCTCTGCTCATCACACCTGCCAGGGCTATGCTCCTGCAGTGAAACTCTGATGGCATTTCCCCTAGTGCTACGTTCTTCAATAATGCGGAAGTTTCCCTCTGAGAGCTGTACCCAAGCTTCTTAGCCATGAATTCGGAGGCAGCCATAGCTATGTTCGATACAGGTGATCGCATCTTCCAAACCGCCTCCATGCTGCAGCCAATCAGCCTCCCACAGAGCCTGCTCTCACCTGTCAGGCCCTAAACTACTGGTTTCATTCTCGCGGTGCCTCCACAGGGAATCCCCTCCTCTCTGCCCTGCACACGGGCAGCGTGCCCAGCCCCCGCGCCTCCTGGTCCTGAAGAGACCCCTGTCCCTCTGACTCCTCTGCACTTGGTATAATTTGCCTTTTTATTAATATGAAAGCATATTGTGCTGTCACTGGTCTGTCTGTTGTCTTTCCTGTGCTTGTTTAAACGTCCTCTGTGTATTTTTCTCCAAGACAGGGACGACATACCTCATTGCACACTAAACAGCATGTACCCTGCACAGAAATAAGGAACTGGGAGAACATTTCACTCAAGAAAATTCTAAAAAGCTAACTTTATATCCTAAGGAGCTCTAAAACGCTCTCCTCTGTGGCTCGCTGTGCAACACCGTGGGAGTAACCACGTGTGGCTGTGTAATTAACATTTACACTTTAGCTCCTCACTCTCACCAGCCAGGTTTCCAGGGATCAGGAGCACGTAACTGGGCCTATCATTTGGACAGCATGTTTTTTAAATATATATTTTATTGATTTTTTACAGAGAGGAAGGGAGAGAGGATAGAGAGTTAGAAACATCGATGAGAGAGAAACATCAATCAGCTGCCTCCTGCACACCTCCTACTGGGGATGTGCCCTTGACTGGAATCGAACCTGGGACCCTTCAGTCCGCAGGCTGACGCTCTATCCACTGAGCTAACCGATTAGGGCCACCATTTCTTTCTTCTTTTCAGTTGGGTCAAGTTTCTAAGCTTTCTAAATCTCCGTTTTCTGGCTAATGAAAAGAAAATAGGATTCCACCAAATCTCCTATCTACCTACTCCAGGACTTCTGTGAGGATCAAATGAGATGAGGCACGGGAAAATGCTCCACAGATATTTGGAAGTGTAAAAAGATTCCATCTGTGTTCCTGGAACTCCAAGGAGGCTAGTCGCTAGGGAGAGGAAGCTGGGCGTTGCTACCTGACATCATTACTTGGCGGCCAAGCCAAGTTTCCAGGCTGGGCTGGGCTATGGGCTGCATTTTGCGCCATGGGGTCTTGGCAGCGTTGGCTGCGATTTGGTGGGGTATCACTCTGGGGTGGTGGTGGGGCCTGTGTCCCACTTGGGGGAAGCCAACTGTTGCTTTCTGGGCGCCAGGTCCATGGTGTCACTTCTCTGTGCACATCACGGCAGCACCTGCATTGAGCATCTGCCCCTTGGTGGTCAGTGTGAGTAATAGTGACTGGTCAGAAGGTGGGAAGGACACTTAGCATATTAGCCTTTCATATAGATAGACTAGAGGCCCGGTGCATGAATTTGTGCATAGGTGGGGTCCCTCAGCCTGGATGGCGATGGAAGTCCATGGGGGGGGGGTGCCCGCTGGCCAGGGGCAGGGACCCCTGGAAAGTTGGCCTGCCAGCCCCCCAATCATGGCCTATCAGGGGGCCAGCCGGCAGGGGGCAGCATAGGAAGTTGGCTGTGGGAGTGCACTGACCACCAGGGGGCAGCTCCTGCATTAAGCGTCTGGCCCCTGGTGGTCAGTGCATGTCATAGCAACTGGTCAACCAGTCATTCTGGTCATTCGGTTGTAACGGTCACTTAAGCTTTTATATATATAGATTTCTATCACCAGAAAGAGATCTAGCGGAGAAGACCTTTTATTTTCACAAAAATCCTTTGGGTGTGGACTTATGTCCCAGTGGGAAACTAATCCTACAGGTAAGAGGCATTAGGTAAGTTCTTCCATGGGGAGTGATGGAACCTAGTTTGAAAGGCACCTCCAGTATTTCTAAGCCTGGGGTCTGACTGCTCAGCACTAAGCCTCATCCTTCCTGTCCTGCTCAGTCTAACCACACGCTTCCACACTGACCACAGGCTGCTCGCCCATCCCAGACCCTGAACCAGCCCAGGCTGGCCGGGTGTTGGCCACTGTCCACCCACGATCAGGTGACATTTAATAATGTTCCACTAAATGGCTAGCCCACCCTACTGTCAAAAGCTCTGAAGTCAGCAGGGCCCCAAGAGGACTATGGCCTTGCACTTGACTACCAGGGACATGTCCGGTCTGAACTCTGTCCTTCATTCCTTTACATCTAGATTCCTCCCCTGGAATGGGCACAGCAAGGCTCTGCAGGCCTGATGAGATGTGGCGCCTTCTGCAGCTGTGCTCCAGCTCCCCCACCCCCAGGACCCCAGCCTCGGAGCCTGCCAGCTCCCTGGATAAACAGCACAAGGAGAGAGGGCTTGAGCTCAGGTCATGTGACCTTGCACTCAGGTTTCTACCTCTTACTTTCCCCCAAACCACCTACATAACCTTGGCAGGTAAAGCCAACCTATATATTTTGGATATTTAACCCTAGCACAAACAGACCAACTCAAACAGGCCTTAACTTGGCCTCTCCCCTCAAGTCTCTTAAAACTAGTGATTAGCACATTATGCTCTTGATCTATTTGTATCCCTTCCTTTACCTCAAGCCTATTAGTACATTGTCCATGCTCTGTGTTTTATCACCAGAGCAATGTCCTTGGATTCCTGTGGAGGAAGTCTGATTTGAATCAAGAAAATGTGTATTAAAACAAACTGCATGTAAGAGATGCAAGAAGTACGCTAGCACAGTGCAGTTGGTGCGATGATTCTATGTAAAACATGAAGACACTTCTGTGTCCAGCAGTGTTGGGAGGAGACTTGTACAACTGAATAGGCTCCTGAGGCCATTGGCTGTTGGCTGTTGGTGAAGGACCAATAGAAACACAGATTTCAAATAAACACATTATGTCAACTCAAACTTAAATCTACACCAATAAAAACACTCTCAGATAAGAAATATCACAATAAGATAGGGAATTAGAAAGTAAGTGATTTCTGCATCACCAGACTCAGCACTCGGATGAGAGAGGTGTGTACTCTACTTATATAAAAACCCTGGGTGTAACATCATGGCCAGAAGCACAACCAACTGGAAGGAAGTCAGTCCTGCAGGGGTCATCTTGGAAATGGCTGCGCCCTCCCATAGCTGTTTCCTGGAGGGCAAGGTTTCAGGCAGGAACCCACCCTCAGAGCAGAGCGTGGAAGTGAAATGATTTGTAATGGATCTATTATTGAAGCTACCTTTGGAAATACTATATCTATAGATCAGTGGTTCTCAACCTTGGCTGCACATTAGAATCACCTGGGAATCTTTTTAAAATCCTGATTTCTGGGCCTCATCCTCTGGAAATTCTGTTTCTTTGTTACTAATGTTGTGGCCCCACCCCATAACAAAGGAACAATTTCCGGAGGATGAGGCCCAGGAATCAGGATTTTAAAAAGATTCCCAGGTGATTCTAATGTGCAGCCAAGGTTGAGAACCACTGATATAGATAATATTAAAAATATATTTAAATGTGCAATTCTTTGTCCAAAAAATGAGCATGTTCAAAAATTAAATGAAGAAAATTTGGATATACTCGATGTAGATTTTCACACATATTTGAGTGATGATTCCGTTGATTCCACAGATGATGCTGAAAAAGAAAATTTTTCATTCGAATTTCTTAATAGTAAGACAGAGAAAGACAGCATTTCCCGGGCTTACACCATCATCAATGCATTGAGTATTGGGGTTTACATACTAGCACAGCAAAGTAAAGTGTTCTCCCCTCTGGGAAATATGAAGTTACCATTGGACAGAAGAGGAGCCAAGTTTCAAATACAAATTCACCAGACAAACGTTTTTTCTCCTCTGCTAGTCTAGAAGCATCACAAATAAGGCTCTGCAAAGTGTGTGTGTGTGTTTTCTTCATTCTACCCTCAGTTCCCTATCATTAATTAGCTTCATTTTTTTCTTTTAAAAATATATATTGTTATTGATGTCAGAGAGGGAGAGAGAGAGATGGAAACATCAATGTTGAGAGAGAGTCATTGCTCCGCTGCCTCCTGCATGTCCCCTACTAGGCATGGAGCCCACAACATGGGAATGTGCCCTTGACCGGGATGGGACCCCAGACCCTTGAGTCTGCAGGCCGACCCTCTCTCCTCCGAGTCAAACCTGCTAGGGCAATTCGTTTTTAAAGAATGTGAAATGCATATGTTGGAACTAAATGTGAACAAATCAATTATATACTTTTAAGTGCCCATATCTTGATCTCAACAC